GAAATGCATGGCTTGTTTAGCCCAGCTGACTGAAGGCTGGCAAAGAGAAAGTCAGAGCCAGAGTGATAAATTTCAGAGAAGTGCTATTCAGATGTATAACACTGACAACAAAGACAAATGGATTACACATCTTTAACCAGCACTTATTGGAAATTGGCTTTCTGTTCATCAGAGACACAAGTTTCTAGCACTGCAAGGGTGGAGAGAGAGCAAAAATCCTTATATTTTAGGTTGGACCATGCTCATTTCTGAGGTGAATTGTAGGAGAAGAGTCAGAGTGAGTTGGGATGGGATTCTCCTGGTAGCCTGGTTCTATGACCCTATTAAAGATGTGTGGTTAACTGCTGCCCATGTTGGAGCAGGCTGTGCACTAGAAAGGCTCCCCTACTTTTACATGGATGAAAATCTCAAGAGCAATGAGATGTAGAAAAGCACCTAGAAAAACCTACAGTATTTTGTGTGTGAGTCAGGAACAAGGAGGGTCCCTATTATTCTCTATTCCTTGTTCCAATTTAAAAAACAAAGCCATAAAAGGTCCATGTGAAAAAAGCAATAAAATGATTAAGTAAATATTTCACAGCAGCCATTGAAAAGTTCTAGCTAATTGTAAAGAGTTTGGATCAGATCAGAGAATTTTGTTTTCCCAATGATTAAAGAAGAAAGGAAACAGTGAGGTAAATAACCAGGTAGAAATAATGATGCACTTTAAATCTTCCACATGAATGAGTTGATCTGTTAATAGCTAATGCACTGTGCTGCTCCTCCTCCCTTTCCCCCCACTGTAATCAGCCTTTTGTCACATACCAGTGAAATCCATTAGCTGCAACTTCCTTATCAACTTCCAAGGCTTTCCAGCTACTAAGGTATTTGCATATTTAACGATTCATTTGACTGGTATCAACTCTCATTTACCAAGTGCTTGAGAAGAAAAATAAGGCATAGTGTGTAAAAGTTCTGTTTAAAAACAAAAAAGTACGGACAGCTCCTTTCAATAAACAGATTTATCTGAATTAATGGGATTGGAGTAGACTTGGTAAAAAAATCTGAGAACTCTCAACAACTTTTGGACCCATAGTTTAATTTAAAGATTCTGAATACAAATGAAAGCTCTTCAGCATTTAAATCAGCTACTAATTTCACTCACTTTATTTATTTCACTTTTCTCTGCACTGTTTGCACCAAATTTCCTTCACTTGTCTACTGAATTATTTCAGCAGTGCTACTTTATAGTACTTATGACATCACACTACAACACCAACATAAAACCAAAAATTCAGAAATCAAGAACAGGAGCAAGCTGATAAAGCCTTGGAAAGATCCTGTTTTGACACAAATGTCGTGGTAGTTTTATTAGCAAAAGAGCTAATGGGGGAGTAATGCCTGACAGTCACACAGAGGGTTTGCCAAGTGCATCTTTACAAATACACATGAATTTTGTATTGGGTCTTTAACATCCCACATTAACTGTATTGCAGGCATGCTTCTGAAGAATGTGAAGTATATAAAAATGTAAAACACTGACTTATCTCTAACATTTTTGATGGCTTTCAATAGAAGTACATAGATTGACACACTTAGGATTTCTGCTACTTTGATAACTAACCTTGGAGAAAACAAAACTTCTTTTTCTGCTTTAAAAGTGGTCATGATCGATCTGTTACTGTCCGAGTGTGCAAAGTGACAAGAGGGGGATGGAAGCCTCACTCTCTGAATGCTTTGGTACACAGCCTCCTAAGCATTGCTAAGGAGGCATTGCAGAATGCTGCAAGGAAATATCAAACAGCATCACCTCATGCTAACCTGAAACTGATTTAACTTGCTTTGTTTCTGCTCACCACATATAAGAGCTCCAGTTATATACAGTTCATGGACACTGGCCACTTGTAACATCTTTGCTGGGAATATGGCATATTAACTGTTAATAACAAGGGTTAACCTGAGGATGATGATGTTGCTGATTAACATATCTGGGAAGAAAGATTCAATAGCTTCTTATCAGGCAAAATGTTAATCAGAGGTATCTGTGACAAAGATATTCTTTATAGAGTTTATAAATTTTAGCTAAGCATCCTCATACATCCTCAGCCCAGTAATTACAGGCACAGCATTTAAGCCTTCATTAAATTAATCTGAAACTTAGAATGTTAATCTTGAGTAAGCTTTGCATCAGAAGTTTCATAACAGAAATATACTTTTCAGAAATGTAACTGACTTCCTCTTCAACACCATTCACTTAAGATGCTAAATTATTTGCATTAAATGCATTATTTATTACAGCTTCAACATGCCTTTATCAATGTTGTTTAGACAATTTATATTTACATTACTGGGCAATTATGAACAAAAAGACAGCTCAGAACATTATATTCTCTGGTGTACACAGGGCAAAATATAAACAATAACTGCTACCTCAGGTTAAGCTATATAACAAAAACAAGCTAATAGACAACAATGTATTTTATTTCTGGCAGCACTAAAGGTATTTTATGCACTGTACACAGGGAGAATAACAAATATGAACATTCAGACTATCATAGCACAACTCGGAGGAAGAGTTAATGCTTACGAGTACCAGATTTGGGAACTAAAATTCATTGATGATGTTGACTTGAAAGGCCCATGAATAGCATTCAGCAGCTCAGCTCAGTTATTGTAGAGGTAAATGGAAGATTTATTTTGAAAGTTGAAAATTCTACCCTGTATTAATTAAGCATTAAGGCTAAGTTGCATGACTAAACTGCTGAATGGTTTAGAGAAGGAAACCAGGACTTTTCTAGTCCATGTTTCTCACTCCACAGTCCCACACGAAATGATGGAGCTGCAGGTTGTAAGCAAGCACACAGAAACATATGAACTGTGTGCTTGAATCCACTGTGTGTTCACCAGGCCAGAAGCATCAAGGAAACTCAGAGGAAAACCAGAGATGTTCACATCAAAAAAAGGGTTTCAGCAGTCCAAACCACAGACTGTCACAGGACATGGGAACTTGGGTTGTGCACATTCAGCTGTCCTAAATACCTATCACAGGATAAACTGAACCTTCAGAGAAGGCAGAACTCAGCAAAGTGTGCTGCAGGGCTGACCAGAATACTGCTCTACATCTGTGAAACCCTCAACAAAGACCTCAAGAAGTTTTAAATATTTACACAGCACAAGAGAAGTCCTCAGGTTTTGGGCACTGTGACAAAAACCCACACTTCTTGTAACTCCCCTCATCCCCAGACTAGTTTGTTTATCACTCTGATGACAAAGCAATTCATGTGTGTATCTTCCTCAAGAAGAACAAGTCCAAGTCATGTTACAAATCACCCAATAATTAATGTGAATTTTACACACTTCTCATACAAATGTTTCCAGGCCTGGTAGGAAGCACAGAGACATGATTTGCCTTCCTGTTCTTGTACACATGAAGTTTTACCACCTCCTCTGAGAAGTAATAGTGAAAACTGCAATTTATGGGTAGAATATCTTATCTGCTTATAAAGACACCAAAGAAAAGAACTTTATCTTGCCTGAAAATATATACAGATCTTTCCTTAACATCTCAGTTTCTGCAGAAAGTACCCCTTTTGACTATTCAGTGCACCAAACTCAGTGAGGTAAAGCACAGGGAAAGCTGACAGTGAGCAAAAGTAAAATGAGCTGAAGTTTCACTTAGAAACAAGGGCACAGGTCACTGAATGAATGCCTGTGGAAGAAACAATTTCTACATACAAGAGAGATGATTGGAAAACAGTGAGGCAGACCATCCTGAATCAACAGATTCAGTGCAAGAATAACAAAACATCTGTCTTTTTTGAGAGGAAAGTTATCTTTTTCAACCTACAGTAAGTCTATGGTTCCAGGTGTGCTGAGAAAGCTTTGCTGGTGTGTATCAATATATAGAATATGGTCAAAGCAGTTTGTGTGTAAACACAGCTACATCAGTGAATCACAATTTGTTCTAGTAAAGTAAAACTCTTCCCACACAGTTATTGTGAGGCAGTAGCTGATGTTACAGCCACTCTCCCAGTACCATTTATCCCAGTTTATACAGCTATATCTGTACATAGCCCATATGTTGCTTTAGCATCCCTGCTATTAACAGTGCACCCCTTGATTGCCACTTAGGAATAGTTTCAGACCAACTTCTCACTTCCTCCCCTTTCCAGTGTGCTGACTTACATACAAAGCCATCAATCAGACAAACACAAAAGAAAAATGTATGTCTTCCTTGAAATTCCTGAAGTGCTTCAGCCTATATTCCCTACTCTTCACAAAGCCCCAGCCCTCAGCAGCTTGCACTGCACCACACCAGCTGTGCCAGCAAATCCTCAATCACCAAGACTTCCCATGTGACCAGGGATTTACCAAACACCACCACCCACCTGCAAAAGCCTCTCCATTGTATGCTAATATCCTTGCCTTTATAAAACATGAAGATAGAGCTTGGTCTCCTCCCTTTCTCTCTACCACCAGCTGCCAGGACCCAAGGCCCTCACTGAAGGGTGACAATTGATCTAGCAGGAAGGAAGCAGCATTACATTTAGTGATGCACAGGGGCTCCAGTAATCTGTCTTGTCTCTACCACAAAAATACCCACGGGCTTGGTTGCCCAAGAGCAAGGCTCTGTTTATCTGAGTAGTGCTTTTCCAGTTCTTCTCATCCACTTCAGATCAGTGCAATCCTGTCCAGCTCCTACAAGTGAAAGCTCTCCAAGAGCTCTCCTAACCGAGTTATCTCCTTACCTGGCAAGTGTTTGTATTTTACTCAGCCTGACTAACAGCATATGATTCTATACTTCTCTAAGAGCAACTTAGGATGAAGTGTAGGTGGTGTTTGCATACACTATGATACATTTTGATGGCCTTCCTGGGAGGCAGCTCATTTCAAATATTGACCAGAAAAATCTTCTTCATTATTTATGCGTTGTGAAAACCATCCAAACTTGGATCTTAAACTTAATGTCTAATAGGTGCAAGACTACCCAGTAAAAGATATATTAATATCATGATACTTACAAAAAGCAAAAGCAGAAGTGGAGTTATAACAATGCCCTGGAAGAAAGAAACAAAAACAGTCTGTTAGTCAGGGAAGCAGAAAAATCTTTACTTTTTCAGCTTAGTACGTGGAAATACACAAACATCATTTAACATCATAGAAATTAGGTAGCAAGCTCAACTTTGCTCTTCACTGAGCATGTTCTTTAATATCCATGAAGCAATCATTTTAAAAACTACACTCAGTACCAAGTACTTCTTACCTTTTTGCATCTAAGTCCCTCTGTTCTAAAATATACAGATATATATTCTGATATACAGAATATGGATCATTTATTTAAAAAAAAAAAAACATATTAAAGCTCTTCCCTCCGTGTGCTGTATCTTAACTTCACTAAGCAGCTTCTCTTTAGGGACAGGCTTGATCAAGTCCCATGGCACCCAGTCCCAGGTCCTCTTCTGAGCAGAAGCTGCCTCAACTGTGATGAATTAGGTGTCGTGACTGTGTAATGTAAGCAGATATTCCCCAAGGAAATGAGCTGAGATCTCAAAACTCATTTCACTTGATTAGACTTCATGTCTCACTGGTAGAAGGCAAGTCTTTCATCTAATTTAATCACACAGGACCACCTCAGCTTTCCACATCCCCCAGGCAGATGCAAGCAAAAAGATTTGTTGTCTTCACTGACAAGGAACAGGTTTAAAGCTGATGATTGGACAAAATAAAGGATTTTAAGTTTCATGAAAGCAAATCTTAGAATGAGTTGTTTGGGTTGGGAGTTAACATGACATGCATCACTTTCATAGCTGCAAACAGCAATTCCCCATCATCCTTCCATCTGACTTCAATATTTTATTATTGCTCAATAAAATGATTCCATCATTTAATGCATGCTAATTCATAGAGCTGGCTCAGAACTTCTCTAGGCCAGGACTATTCTTCATCCAGATAGGTCAGAAGAACAACTAGCTTTTCAGCTACTCAAAAACTTTATTAAAAAAAATTGGACAAAGGTCCAAAACACACTCACATTTACCTGAAAGGGTGCTTATTTTATGTTTTATTTAGCTACAAGTGAAAAACAACTGAACAAAAAAACCCTGTTGTCCCCTACTTTTCACTTAACCTTGAGTAACATGGCTTTACTTCAATCTCATGGAAGAAAATATAAAGGAAAACCTGAAACAACTAGTTTTGTATTTGCTTTCTGGGTCCACAAAAAATCACAGATTCAGACTATCAGCCATAGAGAGTTCCTATTGTGTTCCTAAAACAAAATGCAACAAATAAATGCCACAAATTATAGCAGACAGGAAGGATCAAGGAGGCAACAGTTGAGCAACAGTTGAAGCCTCTGTAGAATTTAAAAACATATTTCAAAATAAATAATATATGCCGCATCTGACTGCCCCACAGCCCAAATATCCATAATAATTTATCTTTTTGCAAATGTCACAATTGAGATATATTATAAAAGACTGAAAAGAGAAGTAGAAGCAAGAAGAATTGCTTCAGGGAGTCACTCACTATTTACAGGAGGTTTAGACCAAAATGCAGATAACAGATATGAAGAAATATAGGTGTTCAAGTACAGCAGCTGGAGAGTAAGAAACAAAAGTTGGAGAAGGGAGGAGGCATCAAGGGCTGAACTGACACTTGCATCCAGCAGAATCTGTGAGGAAGAGCTGACTGCAAGATCTGTGTAATGCAGGGACAACACAGTCACTGCATCAGTGACCAAAACCCAGCTTTTAGGGGGGGCTGCTATTCTCGTATATATGTGTGTATATATATATATGTGTATATATATGTATATATATATATGTGTATATATATGTGTGTATATATACATATATATACACACACACACATATATATATATATATACATACACATGAGCCAGACCTTGCCCTTCTTCCCCTTTCCCCACTGACAGCTACACTGCACACCTCAAATGCTACCAGACATTACCAAGTGCCTGAGTGTTCCCTTAGCCTCCTCTAATTTTGGGATGGCAGAACACCACTGCAGCAGGGTTCCACCTCCAGCCTTTTGCACGAGTGAGGAGGAGCATGGATGGAGCAGGAAGTGATCTGAAAGCATCCCCTGCACTACTGAGCACAGAGTGCAGGGAGGAGAGCACAGTGCCAGCTTGAGAGCACAGCCAGCTCTCCTCTGCACCTGAACAAACTCATTGATTCAGCACCATTAGCTATTTCTTACGTGCTTCCTGCCTCAGCATGGTTTTATAAGTTAACAAAAAAAAAAAAAAAAAGGCAAAGGTAAAAAACCACACCAAACCAAACCAACCCTTCTCTCCATCTTGTTGATAAATCAAGATTGTGTCCCTCCTCCTTAGGATGGAGCTGTGACTTGCTATTGAATTACTTCAGAAGCTTGCTGATATTAACACAGTGGGCAACAGTCACTGCTAATTCAAAGCCACAAAAGGAAACTGCACTTCTGTGACAGTAACACTTCTTGTAATTCTGTAAGTGGGGAGCAAGAGAATCCTCCTATACATCATAAAGAGATTCCTGAATGAGCATGCTGCAAATCTAGCATTCAAAAGGTCAATTTTAGCAATTTGTTATTAAATTTTGCTATTTAACCTGGTGATCTTAATAATCAGAAGTGGGTTTCCTGTTGCCTCACCACAGAAAGGATTTACAAGGTTGAACTTTTCCATTTGCAACACACACACGATTCCCTGGGAAGCTAAACAATTACCTGACAGAACAGACAAGTTCATATTAAAAAATAGATGCTGTTGCTGAATCAGAGTAATTTGATGTTAATGTTTTATTTTGATAAGGAGTGCCAGTTTGAAAAACCACAGGGTTTACATTAAAAACAAAATGTTTTTTTCCTTTAGTCAGTAGTGCAGTGGTGGCTGATGGTTTACAGGGGCAAGCAAAGCAGGATTTATTCAGGGAGGGAACCTCTGTTACCCAACCAACCGATGGAACTGCTGAAGAACAGACTTTGGGGATGTCAAGCCCATCTATAGGTTAACCTGGAAACACTGATGTGCTTTTATGAGTTGGAGCCCTTCTCTTCAGGTTCCTGCCCCAGATATGAAGAAGGGCTTACCCTACCATGGTGTAGGTATCTAAAAAAAGGCATTACCTTTCCCTGCACACAGCACCTGCTTTGACACATTACCTCTTCATTAGGAACATGCTCCTCAATGTGCTCCTGAGCATTATGTGATGCATCTCAATTCATATCCACTAAAGAATAATAAATAGAGCACTTTGAGTCTAAAGCCTACTGACAGAAAATAACCGAGACAATTTACATTTTGAAGGTAAAGCCCAAAGTCTGATTCACTAAGAATAAAGAAAATGTGGAAGCAAACAGTTACTTCAGAGCCCAGCTCACTCTCCAGCAGAGGCTTCACAAAGATGAGAATATTCTGACACTGACACTGTAGCTGCTTTCTAAGATTGCAACTGGCTGAGAAGCACAAAGGAAGCTAAAAATCAAAATAAAGATGGCCATTTCTAAGTCCATTGGACACTGAGACCATCAGAGAGGAAAATGGAACTAAATTTGACAATGCTTTTCCCTGCCTTGCTTTCCAGGCAAGTGCTGTCAAATACATAGTGTATGGAGATAAACAGATTGTAGATTAGCACTTCCAGCAAAAGCTGAGCATCTGCCCTTGAGAATGCAAGGTCATTACACAGTTTTAGCATCTTCAAAGTTCGGGTGGAGTGTTAGGCTTCCCAACTGCTGCCCACAATGGAGTCAAAGTTGTAAAGTGACTGCCGTTTGCTATCTGCAGAAAAACTTTCAAGAAATCCATTTACACCTCTGATGTGAAAGACTGACTGAATATATTTCAATGATTTTAGTGGAAAGGGCAGGAAAAAAATCTCAGCCTGACATGAGACACTGATACAACTTAGGAGTCTGAAGAGTCAGATACTTGGAAACATCTCCCCACAGTAAAGATCATGAAATGGATTTTATTCAAGAGAGTTTAAATACAGGTTTGTGTGTGCAAGCACCTACATAAACATACATGTAAACAGCAAGGATGTATTGGAGATCCATTTAATTGTTATTTGCTTTGATTAGATAAATTTGCTAAGAGGTTTTCTATAGGTTTCATCCAGTACAACATTGCTGTAGAGCAGGTATTAAGAGGTGTTTATCCTCCAGAAGAATATATAAAATCAATACATGGAATTGGCTGCCAAGTCAGACAGGGAAGGGAAGCCACCTAATGAATTTGAAACTATGGTGGCAAATCATTAAGAATGAAATTATGCAAATAGGAAGAGGGAGGTGGGCACAGATCCAGAGGGACACATGGTAGAAGACAAGTAGGGATTATTGTAATGAGCCATGAAATACATGTGAACTTTCCTTAGTTTCCTTTACCCACAAATTTCCCATGCAATTTTTCATCATCCTTACAGGTCATCAGTACAAAACACATGTGGCAACTGCTAGTGGGAAAAGCCTTAACCAAAGTCATGTCTGATTTGCCTAAAGAACCAGGGCTGGAAAGGAAAAATGGGGTTTGTAATCAAGGCTCTGAACAAATGTGTATTTTCTGAAATCTATTACCTACTTGTGCTTAATGCTACAGAGGTTCCTGAATGCTTCATCAGAGCAGGACACGAAACAAGCAGAAGTGTAAGCAGTGTTACATAAAAACGTACAGAGCAGCATTTCCATGCTACTGATGGGGTAAGATGTGAGAGAAAAGCTTTTCATCAGAAGACAAGCATAAATGAGAAATGAAACTCAGTCTTCTTCTGTGTACAGCAGTATTTCTCAAATTTAAGTATTCATTTCTAGAGTTGCTGACACTTTTAGGAAAAAAAATCAATCAAAATAAAGATGAGCTCAGTTGGATAGAATATGGAGTTAATAACATCAAAACCCCCCAGCCTGCACATGACACCTCACCACCCAACAAACAAATAAAAAAATTTTCCAAACACAAAACTGTAGTTTTTATGATTACAATGAGAGTGAAACTTTATGTCAAAATATGTGTTATTTCTATTTCTTATGTCTTTTTTTTTCTTTGATTTTG